GTTCAACATAGTGGACTAATTTCTGCCAATAGATCCTCCTAATTGTTACACACTGGACCTCTAAGTTGACTTTATATTTAAAAGCTCATCCTTCCATACATATATTTGACTGCACAGAAGGAAATTCTAACAATCAAGGTGGAAAAACTGACTTATTGGAGCACAAAATTATTCACAAAATCTTACAATTTAGGTTAAATCAATAAAACTTTTATCTTGCTAAATGTACTGTAGATAACCATCCATTCTTCCTTACAGCAGTCGATGTATGTTCCATTGAACTTGTAGGCCGTAAGTGTTTTGCTGGTGACATGATCAGTTTTGACCATTCCATTGACGATGCCGAAGGATGCTTCGGGCTCGTTGGGGCCATGAGTTAGATCCGTGCAGCAGCTGCCCTGCAGGCTGGCAGGCCAGCACAGAGTAAAGTGCTTTCCTCTGATCTGTACAACAAAACAAAACCAAAACAACCTCCATTAAACTCATCAAGGAGGAATGCAATTAAGCTACTGTAACACATACGCTGATATATATACGGTACACATTACACACTGTTTGTTCTTGCAAGTTGTGCCTTTCACTTGGTACTATTATGAGTCTTACACATACATGCATTGTAGTATAAAACAGTACTATTTCATTTTCAGAGCTGATACTGCAGTTGTTTTCACACCTTGTACTTTATAGACTGATGAGTCAATCCTCTCACATTGAGCCAGCTTTGAAATAGCAAAAAAAAAAAAAAAGCCGTACCCTCTCCAGTACTTTCATGTTATTGAGCTAGATAATAGGTAAAAAATGACTTAAGATGTGAGGGGTGAGGACCCACTGCATGGAAACGTACTTCTCAACAAATCCCCATCTTGCCTCCTTTTTCTGATTTACCTGCAGCGTTAACTGGTCCAGCAGTGGCTCCCAGTACAGACAGAAGAAACTTTCCTTGGCTGAATCAAATCCAAACTTCTCGAGGGGAATTACATCAGACCACTTGCACTGGGCCGTGATCTTCCCATTGATGGACAGAGTGGTTTTATTGGCTGATATTGAGACGCCATCACAGCCTGGGGAGACGTTGCCACTGAGGCTCAGGGAGCCACTGCCATGGCGCCAAGTGCCACAAAACTTCATGTCAAGGTCATTTTCACTTGAACCTGAAGGAGACAAAAGTAGGCACAAAGTGTTACAAAATGATGTCAAATACATTAAAAAATGTCGTATAAAAGCGATTTCATCTAGTTCTGACAGTATAATCGGCTTGTTTCATTCATATGAGCTCAAATAATGGTCAGTAGGATTTTGGACTTCAAAGCCTTCTGAAACCTTTCAAAAGACGTATGTATGATAATACGAAAACATGGGATTGTAGATGAAGAATTTGATCATGTCTCAATATAATTTACCGGTATGCACAATTCATATCAACGAAGGACCCCTGAAAAAATAATCTTAGCTTTTGTGGACATCCTTTAACAGATTCAAAAATTCTTTTAAAGTTGATTCAACGTTTTTGGACATACTGAAGATCCAGTGGTCACAATGTTTCACAGGCGTTAAAGTGCACAATTCTATTTGGCCTCACAATGATTCGTAAAATATTTTCCTTGTTTTAAGAGCCACTTTAGGAGCCTAATGGCCACAATGCTACACTTATACACAGATATATTAAATGTAACACACTACTGTATGGCAATGGGATTAATTGTACTTATTTAATGTACTTATATGTACAGAGAAGTTACATACATTTAAAGTCACAAATACGCAGCAAATGCTTCAAAATCCTCTCTCCCACAGAGGAAACGTGATGTATGTTTAAAGTTTCTATCAAATGTTGTTTTTGAATGTCTCCTGAATATCTGGAGTTGTGAGAAAGAATATGAGGCTACTTTAAGCTAAAGATGTTTTTCCAGTGTGGTTATCTTACCTGTAGAGAGGAGGACGAGCAGGATGACCGCAACCCTCAGATTATCTGTCAGTCGGGGCTCCATCGGTAACAACTGCCATAGGGAAACAAAGGAAATGCAGTTTTAAAAGAGGTACAAATCTATAGTTTCTTTCTGCATAGGCAGGGAGAACAGGCAGTCAGCAAATCCCAAAAAAACACACCACTGAAACCCTCGTCTGATAAAGTGGAGGATTCATTGTAAAAGCAGCAACACACATCCTATATAAAACAAAAAGCTCCTATCTAGAGGTGGCACAGGTTTGACATAATACATTTTTTTAATGATACTATTCCAACCCAGACGCCTGCTTTGTTATCTATTCCCTCTTATCAATGCATACAAATGAGTTCAGGCTAAAAATACACACAGGGTTCTTTCTGTGCTGTTATCAATGAAAACACTCTTTCCCTTTAACTGGCGCACACACACACACACACACACACCAAAAATCCAGTCTTTCCATCACCCTATAACAAGTTAATCTTTCCTTATCCAAGAAAAAAGTAACACACTGTGGCTGACATTAACTGTTTCAATATTTATTTACTGCAGACATTACAGTATTTAGAGCGGAAGAGAATCCAAAAAGTTTCACAATCTCCAAAAACCCACTGACTTACTATGATAATCATCTGAGTGTCCATTAGGCACACATGTACACACACAGTTCTCTTTCTGTTTCTACAGAAGATGCCAACTCATCCCAGACAGTTTTCATCACAGCGGCTTTCAGGTTTTACATCATTCTTGCGTAGTACCCTTCTCGCCGGCTTTGTCGTGGCACTGACACATTCGCACACGCTCACACCTTGCACTTTAAAATACAACAAATACACGCGGCTTCTGTGACTGTGTGAAGTCACTGAACAGTATGTGTGACAGACGGGGAGAACTCGCGTGGAGATGCAGACTCAGATTTTGGAGGGGAAACGGAGCAGTCGTGGTTGTCCATCACAAGACAAACAGGAACTGGTTGAACCACAGACAAAGCAGAAAAGCAGCAACACACAGAAAAAAGAGGAAAATGTCAAAATGCATAGTCTGGGTGGTGAACTGTCTGTTTAGAACTATGCACACTGAAACACACACCTGATACTCGTGAAGGACCTACGCCTTCGACAACCACACAGCAACGCACAGATAAACAAACACACAAATAGGGAAGGATGTTTAAGCAATACAGATCAACAGTCTGCTAAAAACACAACATACAGAAGTAGTTTGCATATAATAAAGTTTCATATTTCACGAATAGCTGAAACAACTGCTCTAACTCTTCAAAAACCAGCAATATTGTCTCAGCTGTGAAGAGTGCTATCGTCAGGGCAAGAAAGACAAGAACAATCTCACCAAAATATCTTCACTAAATTCAGTTTGTGATTGAAAATACAAGAGGGGGCAACTGGAATGGTATTCCAACAGCATTTACACCAGTTCTCTTACAGTACATTACTTGTGATGTATATCCCTTTTTGACATTTGTAACTCGATTTTTCACATGATGTGAAACATTATCATTGAAACCAAGGAGACATGATTAGAGGACTGCAACAGACTGAGCTAACAGTGGAACTGAGTTCATCTCCGTCTCTAGAGTCTGTGCCCTCTGCTTGCCATTTACTAATGAGCCAGTTTTTGGATTTATATTTCAGTCTTCATAGTCTATGTTTAAAATGTGTTGCTCTGTACTCATAAATCATTGATGCCTCTATCTTCACATTATGAATTGATGTAATGTTGACATTTTAAACCTGCACACCAGTTTGCATTGGTCTGATTGTTTTAGCTCTGAGGTTGCCTTTTAGATCAGATCAGTCCTGGTTCAGGATTGCTTTGATTTGTTAGGCCCATTCAGGCCATGCTTTCACAGCAGTCTCATAGTCAGTCTCTCTCATGTTGGATGGTTCAGTTCACCCAAATGGATGACTAATAATCTAACTTCCTCATTATAAACTACACACCTACAGGTTCCAATGTACACTCCAGAGACCTGGAAATGTAGGATTAATGTATTATGCAACCATTTGAATAGTGACAAGCAACTTTGAACTGAAGTACTTTTATCCTCTTACTGTTCTCAGAAAGGCAGATAGGGGGCGTAATGATAGGCTTTGATTGACAAAGAGCACTCCGATATGACATGGTATGAGTGTGTATTCTTACATGAAGAACAAAAGTAATATTATCTCTCTGTTAATACACTACTACATCAAATAAAATACTATAGATATTAACATATAACACAACATAACATAATGTTAATTCCTTAAGAAGTGATATAGAAAGTGCAGGAAGATTGTGTGAAACTGCAACCTGTGTATATTTCACACAGCATGACTTCTTTGTGGTTTTGCACTTCCTTTTTTGATGATACAAGAGCGACAATAAAAGTTTTGGGGAAAAGGTGCTAAGGTGTGACTTAACAGTGGTTTTATAAATTAGGAACCAACATGTTATACACCCTCTTACAGAGAGGGGTGAAGAAGTGCAGTGGGTTTGCAAGCTAAATGACTGTACAGTGGTGGCCTACTATGCTAGGAAAACCATAAAGTACATAGCTGCCTTGTAGTCTGACCCACTACATACGCCAGAACAAAATGGAGACAACCGCTCAAATGACACTTTTGATTAAAAACCATAGAGAAATCATAGATATGCATAAGGCTGTTTGCTGACTTTTGAAAATGGCAGAAAATGCAATTTCCTGAATAAAAGCCACTAGTAGCCACATAACCTACATAGTGATTTCATTTAAGTTTAGATATGTTGAATTTTGTCTCAGATGTCTCAACCTTAAAGTCCTCCCACAGAAAATCTAATGACAAAGACAATAAATACAAAATATTGCATAATGTATTTAGAAATAATGTTAATCAAGCTTTGGTGATAGCGACACATATTGAAAACTATGTCCAAATCTATTTAGACCAAACCAGCAGTACACAGTCACCTTTTAGGGGCAAATGATGACAAACCACTTAACAGCAAGCTTCTAGAACAGTCATTGAGCATCACACTGGTGGTGAATCCACACACAGCATTAATGTGTGAATCACGTCGGCCTCGACCAGACCCCACCGGGCTCTCTGACCATAGACGGCGTATTGATGAAGAAGACGCCTAGTTGCACTGGGGGAAACAGTGAACTAGTGTCAGCCCAGCCACAGACGGCTAGCTACAAGTGTAAACACTACTCACATCTATAGTGTCACACAGAAGCGCTTATTCTGGGTACATGTGGGCTATGTGTGCGTCATAACAGAACAATTATTAACTCTTTCTCAGCACAAACCACTACATTTTCCCTCTCGTACGCGTTTCAACTTGAATTGGCATGACCTGTAAACTAACTCCTCTCCATCATCTCCTCTCTTCTCCTCTCTCCCTCTCCCTCTGCTCTCTAAGCCCCACACCCTGCCTTTTGTCCCTGCGCGGCGCCCCAGGCATCAATGTAGGCAAAAGAATTTCCCCTTTCTTTCACTTCCTAGCACTTGTGTGTAGTGGTGTGTGTGTGGGTGTGTGTGTGAGAGAGAGCAAGGCACTGACCAAAGACTGGTACAAATGGATGTGCGCGCGCGTGTGTGCGTGTGTGCAGACTGGAACACTGCTCACATACCATAGTGTAATTTTTCAGTACCAAGCCCACAGTCATCCTGAAACCTGTCCCTCCCACACATAATATGGAGGAGCCCTGAAGTGCATTAATGTGTGAAAGCAACCCACGCATGTGTGAACGACGCAGCCTACTGTAACCCGTCTGACCCGCATCTCTGTCGCTGTGTGTTTTCCACTAAACTTTCCCGTGTGTCTTCCCATCTCCGCATCATATAGACGTCTGACTCAGCCGAGCTCATCTGTATTAATCACCCTCACAAGTCTTGTCTGACCTCACGCACACTGCAGTGGCAACCCAAAGAGATGTGTGTCACAGACAGCAGATAAGGGCTAAGCACTCTCAGCAGTGTCGGAGCCATTTCAACATTTTTATCTTCACCTTTAGTGTCTCTAACAGCAGTGTCTGTGGATAAGTCTCATAACTGAGGTCTACTGACTTTGTGGATTGACCCACCACAATGCTACTATTTTTGATTTTTGATTGAAATGTCTTAACTATTGGATGGACGGACTGCCAGGACATTTGGTTTCCACCTGAGAAACTCTAAGTCTTTTGAACAACGGGACTTGTATGGTGTTATAAACTAATAATATTTTATATATTTCATTAATAGCGTAAACGTGTCAACTATTGGCTTAGTTTTTAGTCGAGAGCAGCCCCGGGTTTTTAAGCTGCACCGATCTTAATTTCAAATGCTGCGCTATACAACAGGACCTGTTTTCAGTACAGTGAAGCCCCCACTTCCTGCCCGTCACAAAGATTTTAAAGCAGCACATTTTAGATTCAGCTGACAACAAAGTCTGACAGAAAGAAACATTTACATCATCTTACCCCCACATTTACAGTACACACTGTGTGTACTTGTGGTTTGTACTGCAGGAGTTTCAGTTTGCATGTACCCAACTCCTCTTCAGGCAGCAGAGTGGAGGAGCGAAGAATGCGCATGGAAGAGTAATTCAAGGAACAAAAGCTGCTCTTTGTTGTCAGGCCTTAGAGCCGGAGTGACAGCGGGCTTGAATGAGGGTCAAAGATCGCTGGCTGGTTTGGAGGCTGTTGAAGCCTTAAAATACGTACACACGCATACACAAACAGCTCTCGCTCTCTGCACAACACCCACAATGACAGGCCAGGTATGGAGGTTAAAGGCCACTTTGAAAAATGAGATTTTAGAATTATGAAATAAGTCCATTTAGTGTGAAAGGTTCATAATGTCTGTATTTTTTTGAGTTTGAGTTATCGACTGCATTTTGAGAGCGAGGACAAATTCAAATTCATGGTGTTGGGTACAGTAAAACACAACCGAGTTACGCCGAGGAAACAGGTCAGGAAAAAGAGTGCTTTGTAAAGTGAAACACTGACCTCATTCTTACTCATTTAAGGCCCAACTGTGAGAAGACTGCACTCTCCTCCTTTGCACTCCTGCCAACATGACTACAAGATAAGATTTGTGGTTGTTTTCTCTGGTCAAAATGCAAGAAGCAACTGGCACCCAATGGCTGCTGTTTGACATGTCGATGTACGGCATGTACCATTAGCAGTTCAGGACTTGTGCGCGAAGACGACAGTCATATACTGAGCAGCTGCTGAAGACTGCTGAAAGTGAGACTCATAACATCTCATTGAAAGTATTCATAATAACATTTTTCTTCTCACCAGATGCAGCAAACACTAAAACAAACTTCCACAGAGCAGTGACAAAGCAGGAATGAGCAGCAGAGTCCTCGGCACTCAAACTTTTCATGTTTCAAGTGGATGACTAGAGGTGGCTGATGTGGAATGTTCCCTAGGCTACAGTTGCGTTAGGACCTTGCATTCTTCGCGATAGCACCATAGTGATACAGTGTGCACGAGTGTGTACGTGTTCCTTTTTCTGTAGCTTGGCGTCCTCGGTGAGGAAATTGGAGGAGCAGGTGGAATGCTTGAATATTTCCTCCGGGGCTATGTATAAATCAATAAAACACAGACACACACACAGACACACACGCACGGACAAAGCCAGCATAATAAGGCCCAAATCACCCCCAGTGCGCCCTTAGGTGTGTGTGTCACATGCTTCATTCTGCCATCAGGGGGTTTCTTTTCCTCATTATAGAAATGAAGTCGTCTCTGCCATGAGTCACACATCTATTGCAATATTTGCATTTCCATGGATGTGTCAAAAAAAAAAGGCCGGTCTGTCATTTGTACATTTTCAGTTTCAAACGTCAAATGCTTATCTGATCTGCATGCGGTGGATTACAAATGATTAAACAAAATAATGAGCCATGCCAAAGCCTTTTCACACTTGGTGCTTTTTTTTTAACGAATGAAGTCTTTTGATTGTGCACAAGGTAAAGCCAGGAAACCGCACACTACAGCTGTGACAAGAGCATAGAGCTCCTACTCCCTGTCTCTGATCTCTGCCTTTTCACACCAGCGTGAATCAAAACACTGTCTCTTGGTACAGGTCGGCTGCTGAGCAGAGGAAAGAATACACAAGCCCTGTTAGTGTTAGTGTACACAATGGCAAGGATGCCTTCATGACTCCACCGAATACACACACAAAGAGAATTGCAATTGTTGAAATAAAGAAGAAATAAATGAATGAGTAAAACATTAACTACAGGGGTTTAGCCAGTTGAACATGAACAACAGATGAATACAACAGAGGAATACAGGCTATTTTACCATTCATTATAGTTTATAGTATAATTTAAATCATATCCATAGGCAGCATATGATTCACCTCAATATATATTATATAGTATTTTTATTTTTTTCAAAAGAAAAACTTGAATAAAATTCTAATTTAACAGTGATGCCATAAGAACATTCTAAAGGGAGGTGCTAATGAATACAATGTTTTTACAGTCTAGCATTATAATATTGTAGCCTAGCTCGTTTTTTATAACTGTTAGTATTCTTCCACAGGCTTACCTTGGTTAGTTATCCTGTCAGCAGGATGTCTCTGCTCTCCTCCTGTAGACTACAGGACTTTTTGATGCTCAAAGTCTCACAAAGTCTCAAACTTTCACCCACAGAACCGGACCCAGCAAGAAATTCAAAAAAGTGACAAAGTGGGATGGACGCATACACCGACTCAAGCTGACCGGAGGGAGAGGGAAAAAAACACTTAATTCGTGTCCACTTGCTGCTTTTCAGGTGTGTTCTGACGTCTTCAACACCCTGCAGACTGCTGAAGATATTTTAAAAATAGAAAGTCCGAAGAACCAGACGCCGGGCTGAAGCGTTGACTGAATCCGTCACAGAGAGCCTGTACCCGGGGACAGACTGTCAGCGAGAGCCAAGTGTGAGCGAGACAGAGAGCGGTGGCAGATCAATAAAGGAGGGCAGCTTCCGGTAGAGACTTTCATAATAAATCAACGGTGTATTTATAGACGATGTAGAACTTTGCCCACCTTGCTCAAAGGACCCTGGTTTTCCCCTATAATTATCTCAGTCCAAGCCCCCTTGGTTTGCTGAGTCTGTAGGCGTATTTGTACATATGATAAGTATGTTGTAGTTAACCATTGCTATAACATTATTGTTTTTTTACGAGAAACAAATACATCAGATGTTCATTTCTTGCGCATTTACTGCACCTGAATGCACGTTCCTTTGCTTTTATTTAGCCATGGTATTTGCTCTTTTGTTTAGAAGGAAAGGTAATTTTCCGGTTATTGTGCTACCTGTTTCTCACTTTAGGCAGCAGAGGTGTAGACTGAGTGAAAGTGTAATCAGTTGGCTTTCCAAAGCCACTCTTAATCCAAGTAGTAGATAAACCTCAGCATCACATGGGCTCCACTGTTTGTTTAATGAAGAATTGACCTACAGCTCTTCGTTATATTATGTTTTGCTGTTATATCTCCTAATCCCCTTAAAATGAATTATTTGATTAATATTATTCATTGTGGTAGGACTTCTTCCACTTAGAGCTGTAATTGCAATTGTTAAGAACCTATACAAC